CTTCTACCACAAGCTCAATCACACATTTTCTGAGTATGTCTATGGTTTTTGTATGCACAATTACATCAGCTGTGCCACGCAGGTAAGGAGCATCAAAGTAGGATTTGTTTTGACTTATATTCAACACAACATGATTCTTAAGATATTCAAGTCCAAGAAAGTCGGTGCGAATGTAATCAGTGTAAGCTCTTGAGTGCCAGTCTTCTATATGGCTGTTATCCCATATGAACCGTCCAGGTTCAAAACCTATTGTCAGAAGCTTGTCGAATGATACAAATTGTATCGCGGTTTTGATGTTATACATATTTACAAGTTTCAATCGCTTCGTACTGTTCATAGATGACACTGAAAATGAATCTGGTTGTTCTAGCTGACGTTTCATCGTGTTGACATTCATCAAAATGTCTTTAAGTATGCCTATAATAGTATCATATCAAATTTAGCTAGTTAAACACTGCTCCTTTCGACAAATTAAAATGCGGAATAATAAAACTTACTGTCATTCGCTATATATATAGATAAATAGAAAGAAAAAAAGGGAAAGGTTAAAAGTCAATGCTGAAACATTAATACAATTCTACTCATAAAACTGTTCTACTGTCCTACTCTACCCTATGTACACACTACTATGTCCCCAGCGCCCGAGTCACAAAGTCGTTACCTGGTTGAGTCATTTCACGGAGCTTTGCTCCCCACTCCTTAACGTCCTCTTCCCGCGACTTCACCCGTTCCTGCCAGAACTTCTTATCCGTTTCATCCCTAGCAGCATGCAAGTTAGCTTCAGCCTCTTTCAACCGCTCTTCTGCCCTCTGCAATCCTTGTTCGACTTTCTCCATAGTTGTTTGTTTGTCGTGGTGTTGCGCGACGTAATCTGATAATATACGAACGCTGATCAGTGGCTTAATCAATGACGTATATTAGGAACTTTCTAGACCTTTTCATAATGTAACTATTGTTACTCTATATGCAGAATGTGACCAATGATAATTGATGCGCAGAAATTCACGCATGTTGATTACGCTTATCGTAACTAAAAAAAAAAGGTTTGTACCGAAATTGAACTATTTTACGAAAAACTTCGCGAACTGCTTTTGCAAACGAACAGACTTTATCATTTTAAATTGTTGCTCTCACAAGCGAATTTATTCTCGGATTATTGATCGGAATCATCCTTGGATATTTCCTTTATTATAAAATTCACAATAATCAACTTCGTATTATAAATCAGAAAATCGACGAAGTAATCAAGTTAATGGAGTCCAAGAAAAAATATAAGATAAGCAGACAAATTGGCCAACATGAGTATCCACCAGAAACTGAAAACTTGTGGAAGTTTTATTTGACAAAAGGCTCGAGGTGAACTCGAATTTTTCATTTAACAAAATGGCTATTGAAATCGACGGATTACTCGGTAAAGGAAACGGTCTAGCTGCCTCTACGATAAGAAATTTTTATCTTCGAAGAACAATCCCACGGAAAAACTCTCTTATGGCAGTTAGAGCTTGGATTGATAAAGAAAAGAAGAAAAGTGTAAATGAAGACAAAAATATTAAAAGACATCGATACTTATGTTTACGTAATTTAATGATAGTTATAGTATAAAAAGATAATGAAATTTAAAATTTGCGCCGGAATGACCAAAGAATAGGTTATACTCATGGGTCGAGTATTTTCCTCCCATGCATCACTGTGGTGCTTATAGTATTATGTTGTATGTCGGTTTGGAATTTATGTCCATTCCGAATGGACATATGTCGGATTGGAATAGTAAAGACAACCAGGTAACAACATTATAAAATTATTTTATTAACATTACAATATTAACTCGACTGCATATAAACACGTTATGATACAA